ATACATCCGCGGGTCCTGAGGGAACTGGCAGATGAAGTCGCTAAGCCACTAGCCATCATATTTGAGAAGTCGTGGCAGTCTGGTGAGGTCCCTGCCGACTGGAAAAGGGGAAACATAACCCCTATTTTCAAAAAGGGAAAGAAGGAAGACCCAGGGAACTACAGGTCACTCAGTCTCACCTCTGTGCCTGGCAAGATCATAGAGCAGATCCTCCTGGAAACTCAGCTAAGGCACATGGAAAATAAGGAGGTGATTGGTGGCAGCCAACATGGCTTCACCAAGGGCAAGTCATGCCTGACAAATTTGGTGGCCTTCTACGAGGGGGTTACAGTGGCAGTGGATAAGGGAAGATCAACTGATGTTATCTACCTGGACTTGTGCAAAGCATTTGACACTGTCCCACACGACATCCTTGTCTCTAAAATGGAGAGACATGGATTTGATCAAAGAGTTGTGGTCAACGGCTCGATGTCCAAGTGGAGACCAGTTATGAGTGGGGTTATTCCTATATCATTAAACCAATAACTGGGGTGACCAGTTATTCCTCAGGGGTCGGTACTGGGACCCGTGCTGTTCAACATCTTTGTTGGTGACATGGACAGTGGGGTCGAGTGCACCCTCAGCAAGTTTGCTGATGATACCAAGCTGTGTGATGAGGTAGACACGCTGGAGTGAAGGGATCCAACATGAGCCAGCAATGCGCAATCGCAGCCCAGAAAGCCAACTGCATCCTGGGCTGCATCAGAAGAAGTGTTACCAGCAGGTCAAGGGAGGTGATTCTGCCCCTCTACTCTACTGAGACCCCACCTGGAGTACTGCGTCCAGTTTTGGAGCCCTCAGCATAAGAAAGACATGGACCTGTTGGAGCGGGTCCAGAGGAGGGCCACAAAGATGATCAGAGAGCTGGAGCACCTCTTTTGTGAGGAGAGGATGAGAGAGTTGGGGTTGTTCAGCCTGGAGAAGAGAAGGCTCCAGGGAGACCTTATAGCAGCCTTCCAGTACCCAAAGGGAGGGGGGGCTACAGGAAAGCTGGGGAGGGACTTTTTACAAGAGCATGTAGAGATAGCATGAGTGGGAATGGCTTCAAACTGTAAGAGGGTAGATTGAGATAAAATATTAGGGAGAAATGTTTCACTCTGAGGGTGGTGAGACACTGGAACACGTTGCCCAGAGAAGTTGTGGATGGAAGTGTTCACTTCACACTCCCTGGAAGTGTTCAAGGCCAGGTTGGATGGGGCTTTGAGCAACCTGATCTATTGGAAGGTGTCCCTGCCCATGGCAAGGGGATTGGAACCAGATGATCTTTAAGGTCCAATCCAAACCATGCTATGACTCTATGATTTCCACAGAGATCTGATAATCTTCATCATTTAAGGATTCTGCTGCTTTGACTTCTCTGCAAATCAAAGGCCCTCATCGCCTTCAAAGATCAAATATTAATCTTTATACTTAACAGGGTTTTTCAGAGAAGCTTAATGGTTTTGTGTGCACATTCCTTAGAATCCCAGGAAAATCTACAATATAGAGGCTGACTGACTACTTAGTACAAGTTGGTATTATTTTATCGTCAAAAGATATTTAAACTACATTAAAAATGACTGAAATAAAATAAACCCATGTTAGAAAGAACAATAATATATATTAAATGACTTATTTTTTATGTTTACAGACAGAAGTATATTCATACATTGAAAAAATTGGAAACAGAGCAAAATTCAGAAGGATAAAAAATTTCCACATCACCGGGGTACTTACAGGATCTGCAGTTGTCAGTGGTCTATAATCCAAACTTCCCCTGAAATCTCTTATCATACACATAATTTCATAATTTGGGTTTGTAGCATCAACATCCTAGGGAAGTAAGCAACAGAATTTCTAATATATTTTTTTCCCCTGAAATGAACTGATTTCAATATCTTCTGAATTTACTTGTAAAAAAAATAGATATTAACTGAAATGTTAATTTTTCTCCAAATCACCATAAATGTCTTGACTGCAAGTTTAGTGCCTTTTTCCATTCTGATGTGGCTAATTTACTGATCATAAGGCAAAACAATTATATGCCTTCTATTTCATATTTTTGGTTGGCATGTAATAGAAAATACTTTTTAATTGAGGACTCATTAAAAGTCTACTCAAGAAAGAAATGACTCCTGCCTTTTGCCAGAATCTTCACATTAAACACAACTGAACAATTGCACAACAGATAGCATATACAGTCAACGCTTCTTAATCTGAGATAAGTCAGTCCAACAGACAAATGGATACACTCTATTATACAGGTACAAAACACACTGCAGAGGACAGTGCAGTTACCCCAGCTGCTCTAAACACAACCCTGCTGGATCCAAGTTGGTTAAAGGAGGTTGATCCTACTTGACGGTCCTGAGTTACCTCTTAGTTATTTGGATGCATTGGAAACTCTTCTAACACTCCTAGACCTCCCAAAAAGCAGAGGCAATCCCGATGACACACAATAAGCTACATCCAGGCTCACAAGACCTCCTGTCCCTAAACCTGGAGCCATCAGTATCAGAGCTAATGGACATGTAAGAGGCCATGCATGGAGCCCCTCTAAACCTTATGAAGCCTGAGCTACTGAGCCTACTGTGAGCTGAGTTGGTTCTCTGCAGAATTGCTCAAATGTCCTTCCTGTCACTTCTCCCTGTGACTGTCAGTTTTTACCCCATTTCAGGACATGCTGCTGATGCCATGCATAGCCAGCTCTGGTGCTCAGACCTTATTAAGCTTTGCATGGCTTCCCACAAATGAGCTAAAACTCCTTCTGGATCACATCTGGCTGTGGAAATAGCGCATGCACTTTCAAAAAGCACTGCATTGGGGTTAATAAGCTGAAATGGAGCCAGCTCACGTCTACACCTGTGACACAGCTGATCCACACCTCAGACAAAACTGTGCCCTGGTAATCAGAAGTTGACTGCACCTTTAAGTTGTTTACCCTGACTACAGTGAACTAAAACCTACTTACAGTAAGTTGATACAAAATGTATTCC